CTGGTCGCTCCTGGGGATGCGGGGCTCCAGTGCACGTAGCTGTAGCTCCTCAAGCGCCTCGACGATCGCGTCAAGGCCAGCGGGGTGGAGAGGTTGGACGGTGGCGGGAGCCTGCGCCAACCCTCCCTCCGTCGTAATGATGAAGTCCAAGTTCTCAAAGCGCACGTGCGCGCCCGGGACCCAGCTGACACCGTGACTGGCCATCCGAGACTTGAAGTGGACATCTTGACGCGCAAAAGGCCCCTACATGGCACACCAACTGTCGGTATTTTGAGTTACCACCGACTAGTAAATTTGTATTATTGCGCGTCTGGCTCAGATGGTGTGCTTAGAGGACATGAGGTTTATACTGGTTCGGGTAGAAAGTCCATACGTCCAGTTCATCGCTGCTGCTCGTGTTACTAGCACTGAAAGTTTGTAGTAGGGGTACAAACAGGCGAGAGAGGGAAAGGATCCCAAGTCTCTGATGAAAGGAGTGAATGAGTGCTGAGAGCTCGATTGCTGCTCAGCCGAGTGCTCATGTCGTGCTCTTGTGTCGATCTCGATTGATCGGTTTTAATCGAATCAGCCCCCTTCATGGGACGCCCTGCTTTCCCTTTTATAGGCCAAGGGAAAGCATGGGTTATAGCAGAGGAAAAGAGAAGAACAAGAGAGAGAGAAGAAGAAGTCCTTCAGGATCGTTGGGTCCTTCTTATCCTTCATGCAGATCCCACCGACCTTGTAGATGTCAACAGTGACAGCTCTGCATCATGGGCGTGTCCGTTACTAGCATCATGCACAAGCGTCGTCTACCGGTCATGGCATTCCATTTCGTCGCAGCGAACATCATGGTGAGCTAACACGCCTGTCAGCGTTCGTACGGGGGTTAGGCAGAACAGCATCGGTACGCCCGATGTTGTTCTTGATGTGAATCCTCAGGTATGGCCCGTCATAGCCACGGGTTACATCGGGGCATGCCGGTCTCTTCCTTGGTGTCAGAGTTTTGACCCAGTCCCATACGTTTGGACCTGGAGTGGTTGGCGGTGGTATGGGTCCCCATCGGGCGAGGCGAAGCACAAACTCAAGGGTCGGGCAAGGCGGAGCCTGCCCCTAGAGGTCGGGTGAGGTGGAGCACAAACCCTAGGTTCGGGCGCGGCAGAGCCCATGGCCTCAAGGTCGAACAAGGCGGAGCACATGGCTTCAGGGTCAGGCGAGGCAGAGCCCGCCCCTAGAGGTTGGGCGAGGCAGAACACAAACCCAAGGGTCGGGCGAGGCGGAGCCCGTGGCCTCGTTGTTGGGCGAGGCGGAGCCCGTCCCCAGAGATCGGGCAAGCCAGAGCCTGCGGCCTTGGGGTTGGGTGGAGTTGTAGTCGCGCTCTTGACTGCTCGGATAAATCAATGTTGACGGTCATTAGGTCCTCCTCTTCGGGTACCCTAGTATTGGTGCCCGACACTATGGAAGCTATCCAAGCAGAACCTGTTGCTAATGGGCAGCAACCAACGACTAGTACTGATGATGTTTCCAAGGTCCTCTGCCCCTCTAAGGGCAAGCCCCCCTCCCAGGCAAGTAGGAAAAACCTTTTTTTGAAGAATGCTAGTATCCTGAGAAGCTCCACCAGAGCAGAGACATCGGTAGAGATGACACTTTGGGGGCAGCTTGCTAGTGAACAGGAAAGTACCACTGCCCTCATCGAACTAGTGGATGAACTGAAGAGGAAGATAGAAAAGTCTGAAAGGGAGTTTGAGGAATTCAAGAAACGGCAATAGGAGGAGTACAATAGGCTCTGTGAGCAAGTCATGCGCTTAAGCTCTCCTGGTAATTAACTCTCAGTCTTCAAGTCCTGCGGCTTGATGCAGTGAACATTTGTGGTCCATTGTGTGGACTCATGTGATTGTTTGTTGTGGTGATACTCTGTTAGTAGCTTGCTACTAACATGTGAAATGTTAACTGTTGGTATTTGATTGTCAGCTTGAATAATTATGTTGTCAATCTGTGTAGTAGTGACAATCTCAAATTACTTTTCTGATGTAATTAGTCATGCACGTGGTAGAACCAGGACAGACATTAGTTGTTTTATTAGTCCATACTTGTTTGTATCATGAACTAATTGTTGGGTTCTATGGACTAGTTGGATGGCCCCTGATAGTTGCCATCACTATATTTCATGGTTCATCGACTCGCAGTGTTACCAGGCAGGCACCCCACTACTATAAACCCTATTTTGGATACCTATGCAGTTTCATTATGAGTTATGCATTACATGTAGTTTGGTTAATAATCTTGTTCACTCTACACTTAGAGTCACTCACTAATCTAGTAGAAGCCTTCCATCTAAACAGTGGAAATGGAAACGCTTAATTGCTTATTGTTTAGTTACCTAGCAACGGTAGAAGTCGAGTATGAGAAGGAAACTCATTCTTGCGCGTGTAGGAAGCTACACTGGGATAATTAATCACTAAAAGCAATGAGGGTACAACTTGATCTACTTTCTTAATCTAGATAGGATTCACTTCACTAAAAGCTATGAACTTGGACACCATCTTGGTAACTTCGCTCATGCGAGGGGTAGGTCATTGTGAGTGTGGGATCTCAAACGATATAGCTCGTGGAGCAGTTAAGGACCGTTTATTGGGATATGTGAGTCTGAGTAACCACCCGTACAGACCACATGTCGTGGATGGGGTCGACAAGCCAAGTAACTAATTGCGACCGGTTTATCCATAAAACTGGCAAGAGGGTGGTGTCGCTCGAGAATATCCGAGACATTGACTGGGCACTAGCCGAACCTTTCGTCGGACACTCGGTCCAGATTAGGAAAAGATTGGAGAATGTCAAAAAACCCTTACTACCGGGCCCGGTGTATGGAGGTTAGTCCCGTTTCTCCGTGTAGGTACAGTTGTACACCTCTACAGAGTTTGAAAGCCTGAAGTCCCTCGGGACGGAATCATTCGGTTGTTCCCACTTTCTATACCCATGGTAGCATAACTGATGGAACGCGATGATAATGTGGCGTATATGTGTTAATCAGTCTTTTGAATAACATATCTCTTAGTGATAATACCTTAAGATGAATCATGAGCATACCATACTCTTAATGAATGCCATTGCTTTTCTGCAAATATACAAATGCCTAATAAATTACCGTTTGCATCCACCAAATATATATGTGTTGGAATTAAGTCCTGTGAGTACGAAATGTACTCATGACGTTGCCATTAAGTTGTTTGTAGGTACGTGATGGATTGGGCAGAGCCACGGTTCTAACCATCGCTGTATGGTAGCACTTGGAGTGGGCATTCCGATCATGCTACGAGTTAACTTCGAAGTATCGGTTGAGTGATCCTGAGAGATCAACCCTAGAAGGGTAGTCCGATGTTGTCCATTGGTTGGACCGAACTATGGAACTGATGTAAAGATTTCCTTATTCTTAATCATTTATATAACAACCAAGTACTATTCATTAGTAAGTGTCGGTTTGTTAATTGGACTATCATGTGCCACTAAACTTGATCCTGAAGAGTTGCTACGTGCGCTCCTAGGGGCCTCGCGGTGGTGAGTTGGTGATAACCCCCCATGACAAAATATGTCCATTTGCATAAGAGGCCAACCCTCGGGCACAATAGCAAGCCCGAATTTACAAATGTGTCCATTTGCGTAAGAGGCAAACCTTTTGGCACAATCGCAACCCTAGGAAATTTAACTTTTTGCCATTATAACTAATGGCACCGCTTCAATTGTCACTCTTAATATTGTCCCTATGTATTTACCACTGGAGAGAGAAGATTTCATAACTTTGAGCCATTTTTGCATACGTGGCAGGACACATAGGCATGTCAACGTGTCTGTTTGAGGCAAAATGACCTTGTTGCCCTCGTCTATTTCTTCTTCCTCTATCTCTTCCTCGCTTGAGCTCCGACCATGGCTGGCAATGGGGAAGATGCTAATCCCAGCCTGCGTGCCTCCTTGACTCCTCCTCGCCGGAGCACACATTCGCCACGTGTGGCCACAACACTGCGTTCGGCCACACGATGACACCCACGGGCGTGACTAGGAGCCAGTCGACTTGAGTGCCTCTGCTCGTCGGTCTCAGCGCTCAACGCACCGTCGGAGCATGTAGCCGTCGTGACCGCACGCGTGGGGCCGGTCATGGCTGGCCGCCGCCGCCGCGCACCGGGCCATGGGCTGCCTCCTCGTGTGCTTTGTGCTATCGTTGTGTGGCAGCACACGCTGTGAAGGTGACGCTAGTGAGGACCGCTCGAGCCTCGACCGCTAGTCTATTGCTCCCGGCAGGGGAAGCTGGTGGAGGCGGGAGGGAGGGGGAGCTGGCTCACCGGTGCTGGCAGAGGCTGCCGCCGGCCATGCATGGAGAGACACGGCATGACTTGTCTATGGCCGGGGATGTGCGAACCTCCACCGGCGACGAAGCAGAGGAGCACGAGCACAAGGAGGCACGGGGCCACCATGTTCATCGCCGACGCTGAGGAGGTCGTGCTCCTTCGTGTGCTCTAGGTGCCACCATGTTCATCGTCGCATCGGGCATGGACGTGGACCTTCAGGCCGTGTCCCTGGCTACCTCGCCCCCAATTTCCCTTACGTCCCGTTCGCCACCGCCATGGACCCCATTGTCGGCCATGGCCGAAGCTCGAGCGATTAAGGGACAAAGGAAGAAGAAATAGATGAGGGGCAAAAATATCATTTCGCGTGGCCGATCCATGATGTCAAGTCGAGTTGATGTGCCATATCAATGAAAATGGTAAGATTGTAGCAAACTTTCTGTCTCCTATGGCAAATATGCATGGACAATTTTAAGAGTCACATTTGAAGAGGTGCCCTTGGTTGTAATGGCAAAAAAATTAAATATTCCGTGTGCCCTTGGCAATTTGCACACGAGATCCCAGCAATGGCGCCGGCGCCGTGCCGCGGTCCCGTCACTAGTTCCTGACGTGCAAACGGACCCCCGGTCGTCACCGCCACCGCCACCAGCTCATCCACCTCCGGCATTCCCCGCAACGCCTCCACCCATGGCGTCCTCTCCGCCCTCGCCGTCCCCCGCCGCGCTCATCGCGCATCTCGCCGCGGTGCTCTCCTCGCCGGACTGGCGCTTCCACCCCTCGCTCCCGCAACTCCCTGCCCTCCTCGCGCCGTCCCTACCCCGCACACACCTCGTCCCGCTCCCGCTCCGCCTCGCGGCCGCAGTCGCCCGCGCCGCCGCGCCGTCCCGCCACCTCCTCGACATCTCACTCCCGGTCATGCTCCGCCTCCACGCCCTCTCCCCGCCGCCGCTCCGTCCACTTTTCGACCGCCCCTTCCGCTCCCTCCTCACCCACTTCTCCCGCTACGCGCTGACGCCGCTGATGCTCCGGCTATTCGCCCACATGTACCACCACGCCCCACCTGCACCTACGGGTGCTACCTACAATGCACTCATCCGTGCCCTCTGCCGCCGCGCCGATCTCCGCCACGCCCAACGGTACCTCAGCCTCATGGTCCGCTCCGGTTGGCGCCCGGACGCGTTCACGTTCAACTCCCTGATATTGGGTCACTGCCGCACGCAGCAGCTGGAAGTGGCCCAAGACTTGTTCGACAAAATGCCGTTGAGAGGGTTTTCACAAGATGTGGTTGCTTACGCTGCTCTGATCGAAGGATTTTGTGAGGCAGGGAGGATTGATGAGGCCCTGGAGTTGTTCAGGGAGATGGGGCAACCAGACATGTACACACACGCAGCCTTGGTAAAGGGGCTGTGTGATGCCCAGAGAGGGGAGGAGGGTCTATGTATGCTGCAGAAGATGAAGGAGCTGGGATGGAGGCCAACCACTCGTGCTTATGCAGCACTGGTCGATTTATGGTGCAGGGAGCGGAAGGCTGAAGAGGCTGAGAAAATGCTGAATGAGATGTTTGACAATGGGTTGGTGCCTTGTGTTGTAACATGCACTGCTGTCGTGAATGCCTACTGCAGGGAGGGGAGGATGAGTGATGCAGTGAGGATGTTTGAATCCATGAAGTTGAAAGGGTGTGAACCAAATGTCTGGACATACAATGCAATGGTGCAAGGTTTCTGCAATGTTGGGAAAGTGTACAAAGCAATGGCTTTGTTGGACCAGATGAGAGAATGTGGAGTAGAGCCAGATGTTGTGACATACAATTTGTTGATTCGAGGCCAATGCATTGATGGGCATATAGAGAGTGCTTTCAGATTACTCCGTTTGATGGAAGGAAATGGTTTAGCTGCTGATCAGTACACTTACAATGTGTTGATTGATGCTCTGTGTAAGACTGGGAAAGTTGATGAAGCTTGCTCTCTTTTTGATGGCCTAGAATATAGAGGCATAAGACCTAATTCTGTGACATTCAATACGGTGATAAATGGGTCATGCAAGGGTGGTAAATTCAATGTTGCTTGCACGTTTTTGGAAAAGATGGTTTCAGCAGGTTGTGCACCCGATACCTATACATATAGTCCATTCATTGAAAATCTATGCAAGACGAAGGGATCACGAGAAGGATTTTCCTTTATAGATGAGATGCTACAAAAGGATGTCAAGCCTTCGACGGTTAATTATACAATTGTAATTGACAGACTTTTCAAGGAGAGGAACTATGGATTAGCCACAAGAACTTGGGGGCAAATGGTGTCACTGGGGTGCAGTCCTGATGTTGTCACTTATACTACTTCTGTGCGTGCATACTGCAATGAAGGCAGGCTTGATGAAGCAGAAAATGTTGTGATGGAGATGAAAAAGGGTGGGATCATTGTAGATGCAATGGCATATAACACTTTGATTGATGGCCATACAAGTATTGGGCAGACAGATCATGCCGTCACAATCTTGAAGCACATGACGGGTGTTGCTTCAATGCCAAATCATTTTACCTTTTTTATCTTGCTTAGACATCTTTTACAGAGGAGGCTAGCAGAACACGTACCATTGAAAACAACTTCTGTGTGGAAGACTATAGAGCTTGCTGATGTCTTTGAATTATTTGAGCTTATGAAGAAGAACAGCGTTCCTTGTAGTGCAAGAGCTTATTTGGCCATCCTTGAGGGGTTTTCTGAAGATAGAAGATTGGATGAGGTGACTTCCTTGGTTTCTCGTATGAAAGAAGATAATCTACCTCTGAATGAAGATATATGCACTGCTCTTGTTAATTGCTTTTGCAAATTGAGGATGTATCCTGATGCTTGGGCATTGCTTTGCTCCATGATTGGACATGGTTTTTTACCAAACTTAATATCTTATCAGCATCTGCTTTCTGGGCTTACTGCTGAAGAACAAGCAGATAGGGCTAAAGAAATATTCAGAGGTTCAAGATGGAAAGAGTACAATACCGATGAAATTGTATGGAAGGTTATAATTGATGGCTTGGTAAGAAAGGGTCATCCAGATATGTGCCATGACATGATATCCATATTAGAACAGATGAAATGCAAACCAAGTGATGAAACGTATGCAATGCTGACAGAGGAATTGTCCACCAGGGAATAGGTTGTCAACTAAAACATCCATAGCTCACAGCAAACTCTCCATCAGTCAATCTGTGCTCATCAGGTGCTTGTTTTTCAAGCACAGCCTGCGTCAAGCAACACACGCCAGAATCGCATAGATCATGGATTATTGGATGCACAGTCACACTGTGTTCATGCCCTCAAAGGTAATTATTTGACTCTTTATGCAGTGGCGGAGTTCGCCTCCAAAGCAAGTGGGGGCCATTTCACAAGTCAGTGGCAAAGAAGCAGCGAGCGCTTGAGAAGTGAATCAAAGAGTAATAGAAGACTAGCTACCAGCTATGAGCACCTCGGAAGACACAAACATGTGTGGCAATGAAGAAAATAGGGAGTGCATACTTTTACTACTAGCCAGTGATCACGTGGACAGAATTTCTACAAATTGCACGTAGCAAGGGGGGGCCATCGCCCAGGATGGCCTCCACGTAGCTCTGCCAGTGTCTTTATGTTGCAGCGTTGTGATGTCTCATTGTGATATAATGCCCTGCTGAAAGCTTTTGAAGTAGATATATGATATCAAATTCGTTTTGTTCCACATATGACCGCAAGTAACCTTTAATATATGTTGACTAAGCAATATGAAAGTAAAGCTCCAGGACCATGGAGAAATAGTCCAGTAATGGTGCATGAATTCTGACATTTCTTAAAAATAACAACACAACTGCTTGACACATGTTTCATGAGCTTTCCAGACCACTCCTTGTACTCTTTTTGTCTCTATGGTACAATTTTTTTAGTCAAAGCTATAGTTCAATAAACTTAGCTATTAACTTTGTTTTGAATATAAACTGCGAAGAATCTATTTGTCTATGGAATAACAATCATCAATCTGGAATTATGTTTATTTTTTCTAGAACTGTGCATCGTTGGAGTTCTGTAGAATGGTGCTGCCGACTGACCTGAGAAGCTAAACATGGGACTTCTGATTGCTTATTTATGCATTCCGACAACTCGAGAAAGAGTTGACCTCTGCTGGAGCCACAAGCACACATCAGGTTTTCACTTCCTAAGAAATTTTGTCAAAAAAAAAAGACATTGGGGAGGATCTTTATGGTTTCAGAACATCCCTTATCGAAGTACCATGTGTTAATTGAACCATTTTGCAGGTTCAATTTAGAAGAAAAAAATTGTGAGGGGCTTGCTACTGCGCATCATACACTCAGTCGGAGCGAATTGTAGATGGACACGTGCATTGCACAGAGTTTGTAGCTGTGCTTTTTTATATAAAGAAAGGCTATTAGTTTTGTGTAGAACATCAGGATAACAAGAGAGCCAATGAGCCATCTTCGGCTTGTACAGTTTTGTGGGGAAACATTCTTACTATTTTCTTCTTATTCAATCCCTCAATGTAGGATGATTTGTGCAACTGGGTACATAATTTGTGAGAGAAGGAAAATAAATACTAACTGGTCATTTGGTTTGAGGCATATAATGGGTGTAAGAGTAAATGGCTGATCTTATATATTGCAACCATGTGTACACTTGTTGTTTTTTGGTTAATATTTATGACCGGATTTCCTATTATAATAAGTCTATATGCTGGAAGAGTGGAAGTGGCCATCAGTGAATTTCACCTCCACGACGGAAGAAATAAAGAGCTAGCCTGACTGACCTTTATGGTTCCTTGGTGGGGTCTAGGGCCGAAAGAGACCTGATATATTCACGAGTCCTCTCAACAGAGACGTAGGATTCTTCCTGAATCTGAATTTAGGGAAACAACACTTATATCCTCCCTCTTTGATTTGACTGTTATTGAACCCATTGAAGTTTTGATCATAGTTGCCTAATCTACTTGCTCGTGTATCTGATTGTAGTGTTCAGTCGAAGAGCTCAGAAACCTCATCCAAAACATGTAGTAGTAGTATTTCGTTTGAGCTAGAATTGCTCAGACATGCCTTGTATAGTGACAAGCCAAGTGGACTCGAAAGTTCCAGTCCTGCGGCCTGTTCGCTGGTTGATTTTGGGGCTGGTTTGGGTTGACTGGTGCTGGTTTGTTGTGAGAGAAAAACACTGTTGACTGACTGGTTTGGGCTGGCTGAAACCAACAAGCGAACAGACTGTTAGGTCGACACTTTGGGTGTTAAGTCGGAACTTCTAACATTCTGCTAGCATGAGTTTTATGATTTCAGAGAAGACACGTATTCTCCCTCTAGCTAGGAAACGCATCTACTACCCCTCATAAAAATAAAATAAAAACGCATCTACTCCGTAGAACTGTAAGTTGTACTATCAAGTACTACCTTCGTCTTCAAAGAGCCAAATAATTTAAATTTTGACTAAAATTATATAAAAAGATACTAACACTCATAAGACAAAATAAGTATTATTAGATTAGTTATAGAATATGTTTTATAATAAATTTATTTGAAGACATAAATGCTAATATTATTTACTATAAAATTTGGTCAAACTTAAACTAAATTGACTGGCACGGTTACCATAATTATATTATTCCGTAGACGGAGGGAGTACAATTCTGCTAAATTACGCAAAAAAAAAAAGGTACAGTACTGCTAAAACATATGGGCCACACATATTAGCACGGGTACGTTCTATCAGGTTATCACACATCTAAATTAAAATAAACAGAGAAATTCTGAAGACTAGACATATGGGCCCTAGTGGTCCATGTGCGGATCGGAGAGATCCCAACGCAAGGCCTCCATAATCGCAAAGTCTATCAGGCGACCGGTCGCGCTCCGACTAGAGCGCGCGACACCAGGCCGCGACGGGCCGGCCCAGCAGACCCCCCCTCCACCCATCCAACGCCCGGCCTTCCCTTCCCGAGCGAGCACCCAACGCTCCTTCCCCTTTCGTTCCGACAGCGCAGCCTGGGGGCGACGAATCCGCGTTGCTGTCGGAGCCGAGCCGGCGAGCGGTGGTTGGGGCAGGTTGCAGCGGGGCAACGACGGAGGAACTACTCCGATTTTCGACGAAGGTCTTCCCTCTCTCCGCCCCGCATCCAAATCCCTGCTTCTTCTGCATCTGCCCCGACGTGTTTGGTCTCCTGCAGTTGCCATCCGCGGCTCCTTCACCGGTTGCGGCGGACGACGACGGAGGAGGTGCTTCAATTGTCGTCCGCGGCTCCTTCAGCCATCCAGCTCACTAGTAGCTCCTTCTTCCTCCATCCACTTTTTCTGTGATTTTCGGAGCTAGTTGGATGAAATTTCTTAGGGCAAATTGATTCTAGGAAATATGTGAACAAGGCTAGGGTGATTCCCTAACAAATATCTCACTCGAGCACCACTAATTTGAGTATTTCAAAATCCCCCTTTTTCTAGGTATTGTCGATTTTCCTGAAATTCGTGTTAAAGACTCAACCTTTTTTGGAGTGTTTTCGTTGGGATGGATTGCTTGTGATAGCGTGAGGCTTTGTTCAAAATCTCAGTTCAATCAAACTCGTTTTGATGGGTTTTACATTTTTTGGAGTCACTCAGGTTGCCTACTTTGTTGTTCCTAGAACGTTGGTTTTCAGAAATAGCAACTGGTCTGCAGTACCTTGGCTTTTGCTCTCTCTGCCTCCAGCGATTCAGCAGCAGTAAGCATTTGCTAATTCAGTTTTCAGTTAGCAACTTGGCTGACTTGTTTCGTTTGTCGCAGGTTCTGTGCATTGCAGCAGCAGCTCGTGTCCATCTCCTCTATCTCAGGTAAGCAGCATAGCAGCAGGTTGGTGGCTAGCTGCAGTACAACAACAGCAGCCCAATTCAGTTTCAGGTTTGCATTGTTGGTGCGATTCAGAGCAACAAGCAAGTTGGTGAGTAGTTTGGCACTTCTCTGTCCTAGCAGTAGCTTGTCACGACTGCATGCTTCCTGTTCCTTTTCCGGTCAGCTAGCATCTGTTCTGCTCCAAGATATGAATGTGTTAGCTAGTTATGAGTTGCAGTACAGCACCAACACTTGGAGTGCCTGGTTGTCTTTGTGCTATTCGGACTGAGCTATAGTCATCTTTATGCTAAACTATTTGACATAGTTGTGATCGACGTTGTTGGTTTTAAGTATTATTTTAATAATTATGCATGGTCACTAGTCACTGGTAATTTCAGTTTCATTTTTTTTCACTGGTTCGTACTACTGAGCCATTTGTGATGAGATTTATGAAATAAGACTATGGTGCATATGTTTCAAAATAGTTTGTATGTACTGGCAACTTATGTTATATATGTAATAGCTATTTATGTATTAAACGTGTAGCAACCTATATGTTAACCTTCCAACAAATTATATATACTAGCAAACGTGTAGCAACTCATGTATTCAGCGTGTAGCAACTTATTTGTCAATTTCAGTTTTCATTATTTGTTGTTTCTTTCGGTTTTGGTTTATTGTACTTTCAGTTTTAGTTTTCTTTGTTTCTTTTTTCATTGTGCCTACTTTAGTTTTCATCGTCTATTCGTCAATTTCATTTTTTAGTCAATTTTAGTTTTTGTCCGGGTAATTTTACTTTCAGTGTTATTTTGTATTATTTTGTTTATTTTGTCTTCTTTCTTTTTAGTTTCTATTTGTCAATTTCAGTTTTATTTATTGCTTATCAATTTCAGTTTTTTTTCATTTTGTCTACTTTACTTTTATTTTCTATTTTCAATTTAATTTTCTGGTAGTCAATTTCAATTTCAGTTTTATGTTTCAGTTATTTCTTTTTCATTGTGTCTACTTTCGTTTTCAGTTTCTATTTGTCAATTTCAGTCTAATTATCTGGTTGTCAATTTCAGTTTCAATATTATATATTTTTTTTCATTGTGTCTACTTTAGTCTTTAGTTTCTTTTTCATTTTAAATGAGCTCTTTTTATTTTTAGTTTTCAGTCAATTTTTTTAGTTTTTTTAGTTTCAGTTTTCAGTCTAGTTTTTTTTTTTTAAAAAATTTAGTTTCAGTTTTCAGTCACCCTCTTAGGTTTCGAATGCATTCCAAAATCCTGCATGTTAGTTGTATAATAACTTACCCTCTAAGTTGGCACCTTATGCAATGCTTCTTCTAATAATTTGTCCCTTAGGGTGCAGTTTGTTTTATTTTGGGTAGTTAGTCTTGTCTTTTTAATAAGTGTCCCTCCAATTGTCAGCTACTCATGTTTCTCGGCTCATATATTGGGTTTTATAATAACTTGTCCCTCTAGTTGGCAGCTTATGCAATGTTTATTCTTATAATATACCCCCAGGTTGATTGTTTTGTGTCACTATCCTCATTTTTTAATAAATGCTCCTAGTTAGCAGCAAGTTATGTTTTCTGACTTTTTGTAATGTGTTGTATAATAACTTGCCCCTCCCTAATCGGCAGCTTATGCAATGTTTACTTTAATAATTTGTCACATCAGGTTGCAGCTTGTCTTGTTTTAGCCCGCTACTCCCTTTAGGGGTTAGTACATTTATATAAATACTATATAACAAATTTATTATATTTTCATGGTAATAATCGATGTGCATATCATGTACAAACTTTAGCTTATTTTTAAAGTAGCAAGTTTAGTATTACATGGTAGCAATTTATTTCATAAATCTCAGCATATTTTTACACATAAATTGCTGCTAAAATAAATTCTTCGAAACATAGGTAAGTGGGGGTCTAATTTTGTTCGCCTCGTCACGTAGAACATACCGGTGCAAACGGAATTGAAAACGGATACACCGTTCAAAAGTTATAGCCATTCAAAAAAATGTTTTGATATTTTTATTTTGCTTCAGACTGACATCAGCGTAGCAGATCGGAAAGTGGGAATAGGGCAGCGACGTGTCTAAGGCGGTGTTAAAGGATAGAGTATTAAATATAGACTAATTACGAAATTAATTATATAGTTTGCGACTAATTTACGAGACGAATCTTTTAAGCCTAATTAGTCGATAATTTGACAATATGGTGCTACAGTAACCACGTGCTAATGACGGATTAATTAGGCTTAAAAAAATCTCGAAATCTGGCGGATTATGTAATTTGTTTTTTATTAGTATCGGATTATGTAATTTTCTTTTTTTATTAAATTTTGTCGAACTGAATCTAAACATTATCTAAGATGGGGGGTTCTGCGCGACCGGTCACGGGATATCCCTCCTCCAAATTTGCCGGATCCAAGAAGAAAGAAGCCAGCGCGTGTTTGTTTGCCTGGACGATCGTAGCCTGGTCGAACCAGGAGAGCCAGGAGGAGGTGCAACGTTGCTTGTTTGGTTTCATTTCTTAGCAGAGACAGGCTGAACAAGGATTTTGTTTGTTTTGCCTGCACATGTGTATGGGGTCACCTTCTCTTCTTTCAGACATTCTGCAAACAGGTAGAATGCACACGCCGTTCATGGCTGCAGCCATGGGTGATCTTGAGCCTGGTCCCGGCCGTCACCACGGAGAAGGCAGGGGAGCAAGGTGCCAGCACCGCGCGCTTGCTTGAGGACGTAGCCGCACATGTTGCTTCTCTTCCCCTTCGTTTCGCTTCTTCCGGCGTACTCGCCGGCGTCTGGTCGCGGAAGCGCGTGTTCGCGACGGCGGCCGCTAAGCCCGTGACGGTGGCGGCGCCCAAGAGACAGAAGCTCAGGGATGAGCCGTCTCTGGACGCGCTGCTAGACGAGGTCCCGCGCCGTGCAGGGCGCCCTGCGCTGCGCGTTGGCCTGCGTCTCCCGCCGCTGGCTCGCGCTCTTCGTCGGCATCCGCGCCTCCGAGGCCGTGCTGGCCCCGGCCGCACCCGCCGTGTCGGACCTCAACCAGGAGTACCTCAGCGAGGGCGACGAGGCCGATCTGATGGACCTCAATGGCAATGCCCGCTAGAGGACCCTCGAGGGCAAAGAGGCCACAGACGCTCGCCTCACGGCGAGGGCCGTCGCCAGCAGTCTGGTTGCCGTCTCCATCTGCGGGAGCCACCCAGCGCGTGGCGTCACCGACGCCGGCGTCTCCGCTCTCGCCCGCGGCTGCCCGAGTGTGCTGGTGAGGCCGCGCCGGAGATGACCTACTTGGCCACTGGAGACGGGGTGGAAGAGGAGCAGAGGATGGAGTCTGGAGACGAAGGAAGAGCGTGGTGGGTGAGAGCAGGCGACGGTGACGCTAACCACGCCGAGCGCTCGAAAGAGCCGAGCCCCAGAGAAACGACCCCCTCCCTTCATTTCTCTGGAGCTTGGCTCCCAGCTGCTTTAAGCAGCGTATGGGCCAACGTCTCCAGGCAAACAAACAAGGGCACTTGCATGTGGTGGGCTTGTCTCAGCCCCCGTCCAGACAAACACACGCCCTATAGATCTTCCTCACCTTGTGCTGATTCCTGAATCCCTGATTGCAGCGCCTCCGACGTCTAGCCGGCCGGCCTACATGGGGCCTCTTTGTTAGCCTGGACGTTTTTGCTTGGTCCATATGAGTTCGGCCAGGGCATGTAGAGGTCGGTTCGGTAGGTGCAGTTTGCTGTGTTTGGTTATTTTGATAGAGATCTTGTTTGTTTGCCTGCATAGCGGTATACGATCACTTTGGAGTAGCGTTTGGTATGGATACCACTCAGATCTTTCCCCTTCTCTTCTTTGAGACATTTCATCAAACAGGTCAAATGCAGATCGAGCAGCAGACCGCCGCCTAATCCTCCAACATCCAGCGCGGCGGTCACATCCAGCCCTTCGGAAGCACGCTCGCCGTCGCCGCTGGCTCCTACCTCCTCGCCTTCTCCAAGAACGACGTCGACCTGCTCGACCTGCCGCCACACCACCTCGTTCCTGGCTCGACTCCGCGACGCGGCCCGCCGTTTCCCTGGGTGCCCATGCGTGCCTCCTCTTCTCGCACGGGCAGGGGATGGAGAGGATGAGGAGGCGGTGGCGCTGCTCGTTGCCAGTTCATCGGAGGAGATGGCGCTGCTCGTCGGCCAGCACGTTGGAGGAGGAGGTGGAGCTGCTCGTCGGCGTGCGCCGTGAGGGCCGCGACGCTCCTTGCCGTGGCGGGCGAGCTCCTCTGCTGTACCGCTCGCAGACCCGCACCCTGAGGAAGAGAGGGGCACCGAAGGTCACCGTAACCATCCGAGTGCGACCTTCCCAGCCTGGAAACGAAAGTCCATTTCGTTTTGAGGCTTTTTAAAAAAGATCGAAATACCTTACGTGCCATTGAAATTTCGCAGTTGATTCTAACAGAGTTGGCTCCCAACTGGACTTGAAATTACTCTTTTGCCCATCACTCTTTCTAGTCAACAGCCAGCCACTCGTTCCATTCGTTCTCTGCTTCCCCAGTTCGTGCGCACGCACACGCGCAAACCCTAGGGAGCAACCAGGCGGAGCAAGCACGCGGGGGGCGCTCGCCGGCAGGCCGTCGGGCGCAGCAGAGGGCAGGGGTGGGACGGCCCGCGCCGGATTGGCGGCGGAGGAAGCAGGGAGGCCCGGGCCGGATTTCGCGCGGGGGGCGCTCGCCGGCCGAGGCGTCGGCTTGGCGGCGGAGGAAGCAGGACGGCCCGCGCCGGATTGGAGCTCGCGCGGGGGCGCTTGCCGGCCGGGGCGTCGGCCTGGCGGCGGAGGAAACAGCCGACGCGGCACTCGAGGAGGTGGGCCGTCGGGCGCTGCTTGCCTTCTACTTCGCGCGGGGAGGCCACGGTAATGTTAGGCTTAATTATTCCCCTTACATCCTCGACCGGCTTTCGCGGCCGACGATCTGGTCCGACCACGAATGCTCCGTGAAACAGCTATTGAGAAATTGCATGTCTGACACAATGTTCCACTTGCCAACTACTACTATTGCTGAATTAACTAGTAACACACACTTGTCTCCTTTTTTAGAATTCCACAGTTGTCTCTTTTGTCATGTGTTCTACCTTCGCAGTTTTATCAGAGCAAAGCGTTGGTGGATGGAGCAAATCATTTTTGCCAATATTCAATAGTTAGGCCACAGATTTTCAGGGCACATGTATTTCTATTCAGTTAACCAGTCATCACTGGTAGGCTGTGGCCAGGATTTGTAATCATAGCCAGCTACAATGCATGAGTTTGTTAATCACCCATTTGACTACTCTTGACTAAAAGCAGAGATAGATGTTTCCCCCTTTGCAATATAACAAATTTATCAGCTAACACCTATGCAGTAAATCAGCTACATATGCAGTTCATCTATGACCAGTTTCATCTTAACACGTGTGGTAAAGTTGGGGTAAAATGGTTCTGGGATTATTAACTGCAAACTGTGCAGACGACAAAAGGCTTGGAAATCAGGCGCAGGCGACTTGCCGATTGCGCAGGCGTCGCAGTGCGGTCGCCGCTAGGGTTCTGTGCTGGCGACTCGCCCTTGGACGAGGTCGCCGCCGCACCGTCGCCCCATACCCTGCCGCCGGCGCCAAATCGAGACGCCGGATAGGAGTGGTGCCTCCTGTGACGCCGGGGCCGGAGGAGGCCGTGACGCTGATCCCTGGAGGACCTTGCGCTTCTGCTTGCTTCTAATCCGGCGAAGGTCACAAATCCTTGTTCTTTTCCCCAGAAATTTGATATATGATGTGCTCTGCCAGGTGTTTGAAGTTGAACTTCCGTTTCAGATATAGTGAATCTGTCTTCTGTCTTGGTCCAATTTAGGGTGCCAGGGGAATTGAATATAAGATAACAGTGAGAATGCTTACGACTCATTTCGTTAACACATTCTCTCCTAGCTTAGGTCGCCTTATCAAAATATGACAATTAATCATGTAGACTGACATTCAGGTGTAGTTTGATGTTTGAGATATATTTAATACCATGTCTGATGTTTGTTCCTATCTCACTCACATCAGCAAACATACGTTTCGTTTTGGTCGATTTGGCCGTCAAAGTGTTAGTCTAGGAGAACTAGAGTGATGAGTTTGGGTTCAATGTATTATTTATCTACAATATGATTAGGCATCTGCTAATAATTGGAAATTATACATTTGTGTTCTTGGTGGAGAAGAACAGCATCCAGGTGACGCCCCCCGACGAGCTCAAGGGCAAGTACGAGTGCGCCATCAGGAACTTCGGGTGCTGCAGTACGGGGGCACGCTGCATGGCTGGGTCGAGTACGGGGGAACTTCGGAATACTCCAATATCTGGTTGGTTGGTCAAATCAGTGAACCGGATTATGTAGGGTAGCTATAGCCTTTTATCGGGATTTCACTCATTCTAGCGCTACTTGGCATTAATTACTGGTCAGTTAGCCTGTTTCCTTTAGGACGTGTTGTGACTTTCTATTTTTGGCTTATGTTCCCTTGGACACATATGCATGCAACATAGGTTTCATGCTATGTATGATCCTGTTCCAGTGGCTGTCCACCTATTGGTTCGATCGAACACCTATATCACTGCTCGAGGAATTTAAATACTTATTTTGGCTGTCGCAATTGTCAAATTTTTTAGATGTATCGCAAATTTACTGTATTTATTAGAATTTTTATGTGCACATATACAAGTTATTACAGTGAATTTTTTATAGTGGTATAGAGGAAAAAGTGAAGTTTTTTTTGCAACATAGACGGGTTACAGTGGCACCAGGGGAAAAATCAAAATTTTGATGCATTCTACCACTAAGGGCAAAATCGTCTTTTTGGTTGGCCGTTAGCTGTTGTTACCGGCAAAATAGACGGAAGTAGCATGTAGGAAAAAGAAATTTTGTGCAAGGGTACAGGAGAACTTTTGAAAATTTCAATGGTACACAAGTAATTTTAATTTTTTATAATGACACATAGCTAAAAGGCTCTTTCGTTTTTCTGGCGCTAGGCCCGCGGGTGCTTTAATCCCCTTGCGGCCCGGGCTCCCGAAGCGTCCAGGCAAACAAACGTGGGTCACTGCACGCCATGGGCCTGTCCCAGAAGCCGTCTAAAAAAACAAACACGCCCCGACTGCATTGCCGGGTCGGGTCGATCGCCTCTGTACTCACTCAGCAACAGCAATGGTCCAAAACAGGAGCACTCCCAGCAGACTGGCAGTAGCGTCTCCGGGCTCGGCCGCTCCACACGTGACGATGACGACGTGACACAGTACTCCTACAGCAGAGGCAGCCAGGGCTCCGGTCGCGGTCGGCGTCGGCCCGACGGCCCCAAGCAGAACAAACAACTAACCAAGGGTTGCTGCCGAGGCGGGGCCCCCGCACGGCCAGTCGTCTTCTACTCGTCCTCGTCTGGGCTCCCACTGCTGCGCACAAGGCATCAGGTGAAGTGAATGCATCCTGGACAGTGGACCCGTGGTCCCGTCCCGTCCGGCCGTGTGGCCAGGCCGACTGGCCGTGGTGGTTATGGTTAATGAGGACGTGCGAGTTGAGGTCTTGATTGCACGCCATGATGGCTCCTGATCATTTGCTGCTGTTTTTTTTTTTCTTTCTTTTGAGAAATCAGAAATGATCCTGGGAGTTTTATTCGAGTAGTAGTAGTACATAACGACAGAACGGAAGATTACGGTCATGATGAATAGAGTACATGTTGTACCAACACCTATCAGACTAAGCTCTCTGTCTTGCACCAATACGGTTAGGCTCTACCTCCTCCATGTACTTCATACACAAATGAGTTATTTTTATTTTCAGAATGGACTAAAAGTCAGAGAAACTACAATTTTTTTATTCCATTGGCTCCAACTTCTTCGTGTATGTAACAAGAAGTTGAAGCCATTTGGAGGATGCCATACATGGCCTATAGATTGACTTTAAACGAAGGAAACATAAGAGAATTCATCCAAGGTTGAAAATGTGGGCTACGGTATTTACCTTGCTCAAACCGCTATGACAGCTATAGCGGTCGTTAAGACATTTACCCTTTTAGCAGATTCCATGCAATTTATATAGGAGAAATGTAAATGATTGCTCACATAACACAATAAAAGAGATAAATAGAAGATAAGATATACTCCCTCAATCCTAAATTTAAATCAACTTCTAGAATTGTCCTAAGTGAAAATATTTTAAGTTTCACCAAATTTATAGAAAAGAGCATCGATATTTGTGAAACCAAATTAGTATAACTAAATATATCATGAAATATATTTTCATTATGTATTTATTTAGTGTCATAGATGTTGTTACCCTTTCCTAAAGTTGGTCAAACTTAAGAAAGGTTGACTTATGGTGATTCTAAAAATTGATTATTTTAGGATGGAGGGAGTATATAACATTAGTACTTGTCCAATAGTTTAATACTACATCCGTTCCATTTTGTCTGGCGCACAAGCATATCAAGATTCAAACTTTAAAAACTTTGACTAATATTTTTTAACTATTATCATACAAACTTTATATGATTAGATTTGTAAAGAATTATACTATCAATGATTATAAGTTTATAAGAATAAATAATATAATATAACATAAAGTAAATGAATGGTCAAAGTGTAATCTAGAAGACCGTGTCATTCTAACTTGCGCCAGATAAAATGGAATGGAGTGAGTACATAAATAAACACCAACTAGACAATCAAATATCGGTTGTTTAAGTTCTTAACTTAACAAAACATGTGTAATCTGTTTAGTGCTCCTAAATAAATAGCTTGCTAAGTTGTTTAGTGTCGCCATCACCTAATATAGTGCCAATAGCGGCCATGACGTAGAAAAAAAGCAAAAACATAGCGGTCAGAGGCTCTAGCCACTGTAGCACCGCTATAGCCCGTTATTTTCAATGTTGGATAATTTTATAGAATAATTAGAATTCTACTCTAGGAAAATTTTCCTCTCTAACACTGTGGAAAAACGGGTCTAACAAGAATAATCTATTGCATACGAATCTTACAAATTGCCTCCATGGGCAGATACATGGCTGTCAGATGCGAAAGATGCCTAAGTGCACAAAAAAAAGAGACAGGTCAAACAAAATAATCTATTGCATACGAATCTTTAGTATGGTACCCAGCCTTTTGAAGAAAATCATTTGTCTTTCATGTGCACTCCATCTAACTGCAGCTTCCATGTGTGTTCTTTTCATTTTGGTTGCCTCAAGATATGGGGATAC